GTTACTCGGATCATGGACCGCCCAGCACGATCGTGTTTGCCACAATCCTAGATACCTTGGGACGAGATTCCAGCTCTTTTTGCCTTCAAACGGGCCCGCCGCATGAAGAACCGTCCCCATATAAGGGCGTTTGTGAGCCCGGGAAGCTGCGAAATCCGTACCGGTATAAAATGTGAAGCAATGTTACTCGGATCATGGACCGCCCAGCACGATCGTGTTTGCCACAATCCTAGATACCTTGGGACGAGATTCCAGCTCTTTTTGCCTTCAAACGGGCCCGCCGCATGAAGAACCGTCCCCATATAAGGGCGTTTGTGAGCCCGGGAAGCTGCGAAATCCGTACCGGTATAAAATGTGAAGCAATGTTACTCGGATCATGGACCGCCCAGCACGATCGTGTTTGCCACAATCCTAGATACCTTGGGACGAGATTCCAGCTCTTTTTGCCTTCAAACGGGCCCGCCGCATGAAGAACCGTCCCCATATAAGGGCGTTTGTGAGCCCGGGAAGCTGCGAAATCCGTACCGGTATAAAATGTGAAGCAATGTTACTCGGATCATGGACCGCCCAGCACGATCGTGTTTGCCACAATCCTAGATACCTTGGGACGAGATTCCAGCTCTTTTTGCCTTCAAACGGGCCCGCCGCATGAAGAACCGTCCCCATATAAGGGCGTTTGTGAGCCCGGGAAGCTGCGAAATCCGTACCGGTATAAAATGTGAAGCAATGTTACTCGGATCATGGACCGCCCAGCACGATCGTGTTTGCCACAATCCTAGATACCTTGGGACGAGATTCCAGCTCTTTTTGCCTTCAAACGGGCCCGCCGCATGAAGAACCGTCCCCATATAAGGGCGTTTGTGAGCCCGGGAAGCTGCGAAATCCGTACCGGTATAAAATGTGAAGCAATGTTACTCGGATCATGGACCGCCCAGCACGATCGTGTTTGCCACAATCCTAGATACCTTGGGACGAGATTCCAGCTCTTTTTGCCTTCAAACGGGCCCGCCGCATGAAGAACCGTCCCCATATAAGGGCGTTTGTGAGCCCGGGAAGCTGCGAAATCCGTACCGGTATAAAATGTGAAGCAATGTTACTCGGATCATGGACCGCCCAGCACGATCGTGTTTGCCACAATCCTAGATACCTTGGGACGAGATTCCAGCTCTTTTTGCCTTCAAACGGGCCCGCCGCATGAAGAACCGTCCCCATATAAGGGCGTTTGTGAGCCCGGGAAGCTGCGAAATCCGTACCGGTATAAAATGTGAAGCAATGTTACTCGGATCATGGACCGCCCAGCACGATCGTGTTTGCCACAATCCTAGATACCTTGGGACGAGATTCCAGCTCTTTTTGCCTTCAAACGGGCCCGCCGCATGAAGAACCGTCCCCATATAAGGGCGTTTGTGAGCCCGGGAAGCTGCGAAATCCGTACCGGTATAAAATGTGAAGCAATGTTACTCGGATCATGGACCGCCCAGCACGATCGTGTTTGCCACAATCCTAGATACCTTGGGACGAGATTCCAGCTCTTTTTGCCTTCAAACGGGCCCGCCGCATGAAGAACCGTCCCCATATAAGGGCGTTTGTGAGCCCGGGAAGCTGCGAAATCCGTACCGGTATAAAATGTGAAGCAATGTTACTCGGATCATGGACCGCCCAGCACGATCGTGTTTGCCACAATCCTAGATACCTTGGGACGAGATTCCAGCTCTTTTTGCCTTCAAACGGGCCCGCCGCATGAAGAACCGTCCCCATATAAGGGCGTTTGTGAGCCCGGGAAGCTGCGAAATCCGTACCGGTATAAAATGTGAAGCAATGTTACTCGGATCATGGACCGCCCAGCACGATCGTGTTTGCCACAATCCTAGATACCTTGGGACGAGATTCCAGCTCTTTTTGCCTTCAAACGGGCCCGCCGCATGAAGAACCGTCCCCATATAAGGGCGTTTGTGAGCCCGGGAAGCTGCGAAATCCGTACCGGTATAAAATGTGAAGCAATGTTACTCGGATCATGGACCGCCCAGCACGATCGTGTTTGCCACAATCCTAGATACCTTGGGACGAGATTCCAGCTCTTTTTGCCTTCAAACGGGCCCGCCGCATGAAGAACCGTCCCCATATAAGGGCGTTTGTGAGCCCGGGAAGCTGCGAAATCCGTACCGGTATAAAATGTGAAGCAATGTTACTCGGATCATGGACCGCCCAGCACGATCGTGTTTGCCACAATCCTAGATACCTTGGGACGAGATTCCAGCTCTTTTTGCCTTCAAACGGGCCCGCCGCATGAAGAACCGTCCCCATATAAGGGCGTTTGTGAGCCCGGGAAGCTGTGAAATCCGTACCGGTATAAAATGTGAAGCAATGTTACTCGGATCATGGACCGCCCAGCACGATCGTGTTTGCCACAATCCTAGATACCTTGGGACGAGATTCCAGCTCTTTTTGCCTTCAAACGGGCCCGCCGCATGAAGAACCGTCCCCATATAAGGGCGTTTGTGAGCCCGGGAAGCTGCGAAATCCGTACCGGTATAAAATGTGAAGCAATGTTACTCGGATCATGGACCGCCCAGCACGATCGTGTTTGCCACAATCCTAGATACCTTGGGACGAGATTCCAGCTCTTTTTGCCTTCAAACGGGCCCGCCGCATGAAGAACCGTCCCCATATAAGGGCGTTTGTGAGCCCGGGAAGCTGCGAAATCCGTACCGGTATAAAATGTGAAGCAATGTTACTCGGATCATGGACCGCCCAGCACGATCGTGTTTGCCACAATCCTAGATACCTTGGGACGAGATTCCAGCTCTTTTTGCCTTCAAACGGGCCCGCCGCATGAAGAACCGTCCCCATATAAGGGCGTTTGTGAGCCCGGGAAGCTGCGAAATCCGTACCGGTATAAAATGTGAAGCAATGTTACTCGGATCATGGACCGCCCAGCACGATCGTGTTTGCCACAATCCTAGATACCTTGGGACGAGATTCCAGCTCTTTTTGCCTTCAAACGGGCCCGCCGCATGAAGAACCGTCCCCATATAAGGGCGTTTGTGAGCCCGGGAAGCTGCTGAAATCCGTACCGGTATAAAATGTGAAGCAATGTTACTCGGATCATGGACCGCCCAGCACGATCGTGTTTGCCACAATCCTAGATACCTTGGGACGAGATTCCAGCTCTTTTTGCCTTCAAACGGGCCCGCCGCATGAAGAACCGTCCCCATATAAGGGCGTTTGTGAGCCCGGGAAGCTGCGAAATCCGTACCGGTATAAAATGTGAAGCAATGTTACTCGGATCATGGACCGCCCAGCACGATCGTGTTTGCCACAATCCTAGATACCTTGGGACGAGATTCCAGCTCTTTTTGCCTTCAAACGGGCCCGCCGCATGAAGAACCGTCCCCATATAAGGGCGTTTGTGAGCCCGGGAAGCTGCGAAATCCGTACCGGTATAAAATGTGAAGCAATGTTACTCGGATCATGGACCGCCCAGCACGATCGTGTTTGCCACAATCCTAGATACCTTGGGACGAGATTCCAGCTCTTTTTGCCTTCAAACGGGCCCGCCGCATGAAGAACCGTCCCCATATAAGGGCGTTTGTGAGCCCGGGAAGCTGCGAAATCCGTACCGGTATAAAATGTGAAGCAATGTTACTCGGATCATGGACCGCCCAGCACGATCGTGTTTGCCACAATCCTAGATACCTTGGGACGAGATTCCAGCTCTTTTTGCCTTCAAACGGGCCCGCCGCATGAAGAACCGTCCCCATATAAGGGCGTTTGTGAGCCCGGGAAGCTGCGAAATCCGTACCGGTATAAAATGTGAAGCAATGTTACTCGGATCATGGACCGCCCAGCACGATCGTGTTTGCCACAATCCTAGATACCTTGGGACGAGATTCCAGCTCTTTTTGCCTTCAAACGGGCCCGCCGCATGAAGAACCGTCCCCATATAAGGGCGTTTGTGAGCCCGGGAAGCTGCGAAATCCGTACCGGTATAAAATGTGAAGCAATGTTACTCGGATCATGGACCGCCCAGCACGATCGTGTTTGCCACAATCCTAGATACCTTGGGACGAGATTCCAGCTCTTTTTGCCTTCAAACGGGCCCGCCGCATGAAGAACCGTCCCCATATAAGGGCGTTTGTGAGCCCGGGAAGCTGCGAAATCCGTACCGGTATAAAATGTGAAGCAATGTTACTCGGATCATGGACCGCCCAGCACGATCGTGTTTGCCACAATCCTAGATACCTTGGGACGAGATTCCAGCTCTTTTTGCCTTCAAACGGGCCCGCCGCATGAAGAACCGTCCCCATATAAGGGCGTTTGTGAGCCCGGGAAGCTGCGAAATCCGTACCGGTATAAAATGTGAAGCAATGTTACTCGGATCATGGACCGCCCAGCACGATCGTGTTTGCCACAATCCTAGATACCTTGGGACGAGATTCCAGCTCTTTTTGCCTTCAAACGGGCCCGCCGCATGAAGAACCGTCCCCATATAAGGGCGTTTGTGAGCCCGGGAAGCTGCGAAATCCGTACCGGTATAAAATGTGAAGCAATGTTACTCGGATCATGGACCGCCCAGCACGATCGTGTTTGCCACAATCCTAGATACCTTGGGACGAGATTCCAGCTCTTTTTGCCTTCAAACGGGCCCGCCGCATGAAGAACCGTCCCCATATAAGGGCGTTTGTGAGCCCGGGAAGCTGCGAAATCCGTACCGGTATAAAATGTGAAGCAATGTTACTCGGATCATGGACCGCCCAGCACGATCGTGTTTGCCACAATCCTAGATACCTTGGGACGAGATTCCAGCTCTTTTTGCCTTCAAACGGGCCCGCCGCATGAAGAACCGTCCCCATATAAGGGCGTTTGTGAGCCCGGGAAGCTGCGAAATCCGTACCGGTATAAAATGTGAAGCAATGTTACTCGGATCATGGACCGCCCAGCACGATCGTGTTTGCCACAATCCTAGATACCTTGGGACGAGATTCCAGCTCTTTTTGCCTTCAAACGGGCCCGCCGCATGAAGAACCGTCCCCATATAAGGGCGTTTGTGAGCCCGGGAAGCTGCGAAATCCGTACCGGTATAAAATGTGAAGCAATGTTACTCGGATCATGGACCGCCCATCACGATCGTGTTTGCCACAATCGATGTCCACGTCCACGTCCACGTCCACGTCCACGTCCATGTCCACGAACACGTCCACGTCCACGTCCAAGTCCACGTCCACGTCCACGTCCACGTCCATGTCCATTCTCCATGTCCACGTCCACGTCCACGTCCATGTCCACGTCCACGTCCACGTCCACGTCCATGTCCACGTCCACGTCCACGTCCATGTCCACGTCCACGTCCACGTCCATGTCCACGTCCACGTCCACGTCCACGTCCACGTCCACGTCCACGTCCATGTCCACGTCCATGTCCACGTCCATGTCCACGTCCACGTCCACGTCCATGTCCACGTCCATGTCCACGTCCACGTCCACGTCCACGTCCACGTCCACGTCCACGTCCACGTCCACGTCCACGTCCACGTCCACGTCCACGTCCATGTCCACGTCCACGTCCACGTCCACGTCCACGTCCACGTCCACGTCCACGTCCACGTCCACGTCCACGTCCACGTCCACGTCCATGTCCACGTCCACGTCCACGTCCACGTCCACGTCCACGTCCACGTCCACGTCCATGTCCACGTCCACGTCCACGTCCACGTCCACGTCCACGTCCATGTCCACGTCCACGTCCACGTCCACGTCCACGTCCATGTCCATGTCCACGTCCACGTCCACGTCCACGTCCACGTCCACGTCCATGTCCATGTCCACGTCCACGTCCACGTCCATGTCCACGTCCACGTCCATGTCCATGTCCACGTCCATGTCCACGTCCACGTCCACGTCCACGTCCACGTCCATGTCCACGTCCACGTCCACGTCCACGTCCACGTCCATGTCCATGTCCACGTCCACGTCCACGTCCACGTCCACGTCCACGTCCACGTCCATGTCCACGTCCATGTCCACGTCCACCTCCACGTCCATGTCCACGTCCACGTCCACGTCCACGTCCACGTCCACGTCCATGTCCACGTCCATGTCCATGTCCACGTCCACGTCCACGTCCACGTCCACGTCCACGTCCACGTCCACGTCCACGTCCACGTCCACGTCCACGTCCACGTCCACGTCCATGTCCACGTCCATGTCCACGTCCATGTCCACGTCCATGTCCACGTCCATGTCCACGTCCACGTCCATGTCCACGTCCACGTCCACGTCCACGTCCACGTCCATGTCCATGTCCACGTCCACGTCCATGTCCACGTCCACGTCCACGTCCACGTCCATGTCCACGTCCATGTCCACGTCCACGTCCACGTCCACGTCCATGTCCACGTCCACGTCCACGTCCACGTCCACGTCCACGTCCATGTCCACGTCCACGTCCACGTCCATGTCCACGTCCACGTCCACGTCCACGTCCACGTCCATGTCCACGTCCACGTCCACGTCCACGTCCACGTCCATGTCCACGTCCATGTCCACGTCCACGTCCACGTCCACGTCCACGTCCATGTCCACGTCCACGTCCACGTCCATGTCCACGTCCACGTCCACGTCCACGTCCATGTCCACGTCCACGTCCACGTCCACGTCCACGTCCACGTCCACGTCCACGTCCACGTCCACGTCCACGTCCACGTCCACGTCCACGTCCACGTCCACGTCCACGTCCATGTCACGTCCACGTCCACGTCCACGTCCACGTCCACGTCCACGTCCACGTCCACGTCCACGTCCACGTCCACGTCCACGTCCACGTCCACGTCCACGTCCACGTCCACGTCCACGTCCACGTCCATGTCCACGTCCACGTCCACGTCCACGTCCACGTCCATGTCCACGTCCATGTCCACGTCCACGTCCTGTCCACGTCCACGTCCATGTCCACGTCCACGTCCACGTCCACGTCCACGTCCACGTCCACGTCCATGTCCACGTCCACGTCCACGTCCACGTCCACGTCCACGTCCACGTCCACGTCCACGTCCACGTCCATGTCCACGTCCATGTCCACGTCCACGTCCACGTCCACGTCCACGTCCACGTCCACGTCCACGTCCACGTCCACGTCCACGTCCACGTCCACGTCCACGTCCACGTCCACGTCCACGTCCACGTCCACGTCCACGTCCACGTCCACGTCCACGTCCACGTCCACGTCCACGTCCATGTCCACGTCCACGTCCACGTCCACGTCCACGTCCATGTCCACGTCCACGTCCACGTCCACGTCCACGTCCACGTCCACGTCCACGTCCACGTCCATGTCCACGTCCACGTCCACGTCCACGTCCACGTCCATGTCCACGTCCACGTCCACGTCCACGTCCACGTCCACGTCCACGTCCATGTCCACGTCCACGTCCACGTCCATGTCCACGTCCACGTCCACGTCCACGTCCATGTCCACGTCCACGTCCACGTCCACGTCCACGTCCACGTCCACGTCCACGTCCACGTCCACGTCCACGTCCACGTCCACGTCCATGTCCACGTCCACGTCCACGTCCATGTCCACGTCCACGTCCACGTCCACGTCCACGTCCACGTCCACGTCCACGTCCACGTCCACGTCCACGTCCATGTCCACGTCCACGTCCACGTCCACGTCCACGTCCACGTCCACGTCCACGTCCACGTCCACGTCCACGTCCACGTCCACGTCCACGTCCACGTCCACGTCCACGTCCACGTCCACGTCCACGTCCACGTCCATGTCCACGTCCACGTCCACGTCCACGTCCACGTCCATGTCCACGTCCATGTCCACGTCCATGTCCACGTCCACGTCCACGTCCACGTCCACGTCCACGTCCACGTCCACGTCCACGTCCACGTCCATGTCCACGTCCATGTCCACGTCCACGTCCACGTCCATGTCCACGTCCACGTCCACGTCCACGTCCACGTCCACGTCCACGTCCACGTCCACGTCCACGTCCACGTCCATGTCCACGTCCACGTCCACGTCCACGTCCATGTCCACGTCCACGTCCACGTCCACGTCCACGTCCACGTCCACGTCCATGTCCACGTCCACGTCCACGTCCACGTCCATGTCCACGTCCATGTCCACGTCCACGTCCACGTCCATGTCCATGTCCACGTCCACGTCCACGTCCACGTCCATGTCCACGTCCACGTCCATGTCCACGTCCACGTCCATGTCCACGTCCACGTCCACGTCCACGTCCATGTCCACGTCCATGTCCACGTCCACGTCCATGTCCACGTCCACGTCCACGTCCACGTCCACGTCCACGTCCACGTCCATGTCCACGTCCACGTCCACGTCCACGTCCACGTCCACGTCCACGTCCACGTCCACGTCCACGTCCACGTCCACGTCCACGTCACGTCCACGTCCATGTCCACGTCCACGTCCACGTCCACGTCCACGTCCACGTCCACGTCCACGTCCACGTCCACGTCCACGTCCACGTCCACGTCCACGTCCACGTCCACGTCCACGTCCACGTCCACGTCCACGTCCACGTCCACGTCCACGTCCACGTCCATGTCCACGTCCACGTCCATGTCCACGTCCATGTCCACGTCCACGTCCACGTCCACGTCCACGTCCATGTCCACGTCCACGTCCACGTCCACGTCCACGTCCACGTCCACGTCCATGTCCACGTCCACGTCCACGTCCACGTCCACGTCCACGTCCACGTCCACGTCCACGTCCATGTCCACGTCCACGTCCACGTCCACGTCCACGTCCACGTCCACGTCCACGTCCATGTCCACGTCCACGTCCACGTCCACGTCCACGTCCATGTCCACGTCCACGTCCACGTCCACGTCCACGTCCACGTCCACGTCCACGTCCACGTCCATGTCCATGTCCACGTCCACGTCCACGTCCACGTCCATGTCCACGTCCACGTCCACGTCCACGTCCACGTCCACGTCCACGTCCATGTCCATGTCCACGTCCATGTCCACGTCCACGTCCACGTCCACGTCCATGTCCACGTCCACGTCCACGTCCACGTCCAGTCCATGTCCACGTCCATGTCCACGTCCATGTCCACGTCCACGTCCACGTCCATGTCCACGTCCATGTCCACGTCCACGTCCATGTCCACGTCCACGTCCACGTCCACGTCCACGTCCACGTCCACGTCCACGTCCACGTCCATGTCCACGTCCATGTCCACGTCCACGTCCACGTCCACGTCCACGTCCACGTCCACGTCCACGTCCACGTCCACGTCCACGTCCATGTCCATGTCCACGTCCACGTCCACGTCCACGTCCACGTCCACGTCCATGTCCACGTCCACGTCCACGTCCATGTCCATGTCCACGTCCACGTCCACGTCCACGTCCATGTCCACGTCCACGTCCACGTCCACGTCCACGTCCACGTCCATGTCCACGTCCATGTCCATGTCCACGTCCACGTCCACGTCCACGTCCACGTCCACGTCCACGTCCACGTCCACGTCCACGTCCATGTCCACGTCCACGTCCACGTCCACGTCCACGTCCACGTCCACGTCCACGTCCACGTCCACGTCCACGTCCACGTCCACGTCCACGTCCACGTCCACGTCCACGTCCATGTCCACGTCCACGTCCACGTCCACGTCCACGTCCACGTCCACGTCCACGTCCACGTCCACGTCCACGTCCACGTCCATGTCCACGTCCACGTCCACGTCCACGTCCACGTCCATGTCCACGTCCATGTCCACGTCCACGTCCACGTCCACGTCCACGTCCACGTCCACGTCCACGTCCACGTCCATGTCCACGTCCACGTCCACGTCCACGTCCACGTCCATGTCCACGTCCACGTCCACGTCCATGTCCACGTCCACGTCCACGTCCACGTCCACGTCCACGTCCATGTCCACGTCCACGTCCACGTCCATGTCCACGTCCACGTCCACGTCCACGTCCACGTCCACGTCCACGTCCACGTCCACGTCCACGTCCACGTCCACGTCCACGTCCACGTCCATGTCCATGTCCACGTCCACGTCCACGTCCATGTCCACGTCCACGTCCATGTCCACGTCCACGTCCACGTCCATGTCCACGTCCACGTCCACGTCCATGTCCACGTCCACGTCCATGTCCATGTCCACGTCCACGTCCATGTCCACGTCCACGTCCACGTCCACGTCCACGTCCATGTCCACGTCCACGTCCACGTCCACGTCCACGTCCACGTCCACGTCCACGTCCACGTCCACGTCCATGTCCACGTCCACGTCCACGTCCACGTCCACGTCCATGTCCATGTCCATGTCCACGTCCACGTCCATGTCCACGTCCACGTCCACGTCCACGTCCACGTCCACGTCCACGTCCACGTCCACGTCCATGTCCACGTCCACGTCCACGTCCACGTCCACGTCCATGTCCACGTCCACGTCCATGTCCACGTCCACGTCCACGTCCACGTCCACGTCCACGTCCACGTCCACGTCCACGTCCATGTCCACGTCCATGTCCACGTCCACGTCCACGTCCACGTCCACGTCCACGTCCACGTCCACGTCCACGTCCACGTCCACGTCCACGTCCACGTCCACGTCCACGTCCATGTCCACGTCCACGTCGTCCATGTCCACGTCCACGTCCACGTCCACGTCCATGTCCACGTCCACGTCCACGTCCATGTCCACGTCCACGTCCACGTCCACGTCCATGTCCACGTCCACGTCCACGTCCACGTCCACGTCCACGTCCACGTCCACGTCCACGTCCACGTCCACGTCCATGTCCACGTCCATGTCCACGTCCACGTCCATGTCCACGTCCACGTCCACGTCCACGTCCACGTCCACGTCCACGTCCAAGTCCACGTCCACGTCCACGTCCACGTCCACGTCCACGTCCACGTCCACGTCCATGTCCACGTCCACGTCCACGTCCACGTCCACGTCCACGTCCACGTCCATGTCCACGTCCACGTCCACGTCCACGTCCACGTCCACGTCCTACGTCCACGTCCACGTCCACGTCCACGTCCACGTCCACGTCCACGTCCATGTCCACGTCCACGTCCACGTCCATGTCCACGTCCACCTCCATGTCCACGTCCACGTCCACGTCCACGTCCACGTCCACGTCCACGTCCATGTCCACGTCCACGTCCACGTCCACGTCCACGTCCATGTCCACGTCCACGTCCACGTCCACGTCCACGTCCATGTCCACGTCCACGTCCACGTCCACGTCCACGTCCATGTCCACGTCCACGTCCACGTCCACGTCCACGTCCACGTCCACGTCCACGTCCACGTCCACGTCCACGTCCACGTCCACGTCCATGTCCACGTCCACGTCCACGTCCATGTCCACGTCCACGTCCACGTCCACGTCCACGTCCACGTCCACGTCCACGTCCATGTCCACGTCCATGTCCATGTCCACGTCCACGTCCACGTCCACGTCCACGTCCACGTCCACGTCCACGTCCACGTCCACGTCCATGTCCACGTCCACGTCCACGTCCATGTCCACGTCCATGTCCACGTCCACGTCCACGTCCACGTCCACGTCCACGTCCACGTCCACGTCCACGTCCACGTCCACGTCCACGTCCACGTCCACGTCCACGTCCACGTCCACGTCCATGTCCACGTCCATGTCCACGTCCACGTCCACGTCCAAGTCCACGTCCATGTCCACGTCCACGTCCACGTCCACGTCCACGTCCACGTCCATGTCCACGTCCATGTCCACGTCCACGTCCACGTCCACGTCCACGTCCATGTCCACGTCCACGTCCACGTCCACGTCCACGTCCACGTCCACGTCCATGTCCACGTCCACGTCCACGTCCACGTCCATGTCCACGTCCACGTCCACGTCCACGTCCACGTCCACGTCCACGTCCATGTCCACGTCCACGTCCACGTCCACGTCCACGTCCACGTCCACGTCCACGTCCACGTCCACGTCCATGTCCACGTCCACGTCCACGTCCACGTCCACGTCCACGTCCACGTCCACGTCCACGTCCACGTCCATGTCCACGTCCACGTCCATGTCCACGTCCATGTCCACGTCCATGTCCACGTCCACGTCCACGTCCACGTCCACGTCCATGTCCACGTCCACGTCCACGTCCATGTCCACGTCCACGTCCACGTCCACGTCCATGTCCATGTCCACGTCCATGTCCACGTCCACGTCCACGTCCATGTCCACGTCCACGTCCACGTCCACGTCCACGTCCACGTCCACGTCCACGTCCACGTCCATGTCCACGTCCACGTCCACGTCCACGTCCACGTCCACGTCCATGTCCACGTCCACGTCCACGTCCACGTCCACGTCCATGTCCATGTCCACGTCCATGTCCATGTCCACGTCCACGTCCACGTCCACGTCCATGTCCACGTCCACGTCCACGTCCATGTCCACGTCCAGTCCTCCACGTCCACGTCCACGTCCACGTCCAGTCCACGTCCACGTCCATGTCCACGTCCACGTCCACGTCCATGTCCACGTCCACCTCCACGTCCACGTCCACGTCCATGTCCATGTCCACGTCCACGTCCACGTCCACGTCCACGTCCACGTCCACGTCCATGTCCACGTCCACGTCCACGTCCACGTCCACGTCCACGTCCATGTCCACGTCCACGTCCACCACGTCCATGTCCACGTCCACGTCCACGTCCACGTCCACGTCCATGTCCATGTCCACGTCCACGTCCACGTCCACGTCCACGTCCACGTCCATGTCCACGTCCATGTCCACGTCCACGTCCATGTCCACGTCCACGTCCACGTCCACGTCCACGTCCACGTCCATGTCCACGTCCACGTCCACGTCCATGTCCACGTCCACGTCCACGTCCACGTCCACGTCCACGTCCATGTCCACGTCCATGTCCACGTCCAAGTCCACGTCCACGTCCACGTCCACGTCCACGTCCACGTCCATGTCCATGTCCACGTCCACGTCCACGTCCACGTCCACGTCCACGTCCATGTCCATGTCCACGTCCACGTCCATGTCCACGTCCACGTCCACGTCCACGTCCACGTCCATGTCCACGTCCACGTCCACGTCCACGTCCACGTCCACGTCCATGTCCACGTCCACGTCCACGTCCATGTCCACGTCCACGTCCATGTCCACGTCCACGTCCATGTCCACGTCCACGTCCACGTCCACGTCCACGTCCACGTCCATGTCCACGTCCATGTCCACGTCCA